CTAGGTTGTCATAAAAGAGAAATATTTGACTAGAACATTGTTAGTTACTAGTGAAATTCCCCCTAAAAATCATCCAAGAAGTGTTGTACGATGAGCTTCTTAAGTATTATAACAATTTTCATAGCTAGCTTAATTTAGTGCCTTCTATCCTTTTTCTTCCATTTTATACAATCAAACTCACACATAATAAACACCAAAAATAAACCTTTCAGCATCAGACATCAAGTAGCAGAGGAAAAACTGACATGTTATTAAAAATCTTTAACTCTTCATAATTCTATCAAAATGCAGTCATTTGAAAAAAATAGAATTAATGCATTTTGATCAAGTTTGTGTCTGTATCCAGAATAAGGTTAAAGTGGTGCAAAATCAATGCCAAGGGAAATCTAGGATGTTTACTTGAAATAAATACAAATATAAGGATGAGAGAAAGGCTCTATTTCTTATGCCTCATATTTTCTTACAGTAGATTTTTTTTCCAAACTAATAGTAAATATAGATTATTTTGTTTCTGTAGGCCTGGCTCTCACATGAGCACTTCCAGAAGCTGAACATTCAAGTACTAGTGAAATTATTTTATTGATGGAAGTGGTAGACACAGCAGTTACTATTCATCTTAGATTTTGCATGTCCCTTTGGAATGGTACTACAAAGGCAAATACTAGTCCCACAAATAAAGAAAAAGATTATCATGCCATTGGATGTGCTTTAGGTATTCTGAAGCATTTACCTCCCTTCAAGTCTTATATCTCTTAGTTAGGCTTCAAGTTAAACTTTAGAGAGTATATGTATCCTCAGAGCTCAACTTAGGGCCTCACACATAGTAGGTACTCAATAAATATTGATCCAAATGGATTAGGCTTGATGAAATTCATGCTACAGAGAAAATAAACGTTGAAAAAATATGATGGTAAATCTTACCTAGCTCACAACTTCAACTCTACTCATATTCCTGAGCTTGATCATCCTATAGTGACTATAGTGGGGGCCTGAGTTAACCAAGCATCTGAATATAAAGCTCTTTTCCATTGTAGCAACTCCAGATGGACAGTGAAGCTTCTACGTGTTGGGCATGAGGGCAAGGAAGTGAGGAATGATAACAGGCCTTTCTCTAACCCTTTTGAAAGATTCATGATCCACCCAAATGAGTGATAGAACTAGCTTTGATTCTTTAAACATCTTCCATTCTGTTTAACCAAACCTTTTGATTAACAGACCAAAACAACAGACTTTGGTGAGGAATAATGTTATTAATGCTGAGCTGGTGATAATTTTTTTGCCCTACTATTAGACCTGAAAATGAATATTATCCAGCTATTAAGATTAACTCTACCTGTGCAATTTCTCCATATTATTTCTACTGCCCCTTTCTTCTATACAACTCCTAATCCTACACTTCAGTCAAACTGAGCTCAAAGCTCATTTCTGCCAAGATGTCTTCCCTAACTTCCCCCATAATGTCATATCCCTGATTATCATTCTCCTCCAACTGCCATCTTCTCCAATTTAACTAAGAACCCCTCAAAAAAACAGGTATTAAATTGCTTGGTTTCTTATCCACCACTAATATAATACTTTGCATGAACATGAGGCATTAACTGTAACTTAAACTCTATAAGATTTGGTTTCTTCATC